TAGTTGATCATTAAAGATTGGGGCAATTATATTTATAGGATAAAAAAACTGTAGTATTGTCCCCTTAATACTTTCTCAAACTTTACCATTTTAAGACAAACTTAACTTTTATTTATAATTATGAAAATTAAAAAAAATACTTTTATAATCTAAAAAATTTTGGAAAATCAGAAAAGGAAATACAATGACATTTCGTAACATCTTTTTCCGAAAAAAAAATTAAAACAACTTTTTACAAATGTTTTACGAATTAGCAGAAAGTGCATTCTATAAATCTATAAATTTATAGAATAGACTATCTACTATTTCATTAGTTTTCTACTAAATATATAGAATTAGTTATCAACAGTTCTTCTATGTTCTACAAAGATATGAAACTGTATTCTACAACCTTTTCTTTATTCTACAATTTAGTAGAATTATCTTTCTATAGTTACCTCTTTGTTCTACATCTTAGTAGAATTATATTTCTACGGAAACTCTTTGTTCTATAATTATAGAATACTTATTTTACAATTCCGTTAACTGAATCTCCGAGAATCTAAGATCAGATCTAGAGAATATATTTCTTTCCATTTCGAATTATTTAATTTTCTAATTATTTTTTAAAATTTTTTTTTAGAAACTAAATTTTGTCGACATTTTTGCTTCTTCTCCTCAACTTATCATTTTTTTCCTCCTTCAACCTACAAAATTTCAAGTTTTCTTCATAATTTTTACGTTTTCTCCTTGTTTTTTCATTTTAATTACCTTAAAATATGTTAGATACATACGTAACATGTGGTCTATGGAATTCTGCGTTGAAGAGATAGTGGAATTTTATTGTCGATGTAGAGAAGTAGAGAAAGGAGGAAGATTGATAACTCTGGAATCAAGTACAAGTTTTGAGGAGTTAAAAATGATGGTGTAGGAGGATTAAACAAACCAGAACCCAGAAAACACAATCAATTTGTGATTAAACAAACCCTAACAATTGAATAGATTGAAATAAAATAGTCTAGTTTAATGTTTTAGTTGGTCACTAAATTTTTTATTAAATAAATTTAATATTTATATTCTTTTATAATTTAATATTAATTTTTTGCATAATTTACAGAACAATTTTCATAGTTTGTAGTTTAATAAAATCTTTAAGATAGTAAGTGTACCATCTTTCTTTTTATGCTGTCAACATTGTTTGACGACATTTGTTTGTACCACAATTGGTTTTTACTTTTTGTTACCTTGTTTATTATATATTCATTATATATTAGGAATTAACCTGTATATTGTGCGGGATAATGTGTTTTAAATTATTTTTAAATTTAATTTTAATTTTTTGGTTAAAATTAAAATTAGTGATAAAAATATAAATAAATAAACTTAGTGGCAATAAGATAACAATGTATATATAATATCGAATATGACTTTGAGCTTGTTTTGTTATGCGTTTTAATTGTTAGTACTTTTTAAATGTGAAAGTGATTTAATGTTAATATATTTATATATATATATATATATATATTTATATACATATCAATATGGATTAAAATCTAAATATATATATTCATAAAATAAGAATTTAATTGTAAATATTTTATTAGAAATCAAACTATCATTTTTACTTAATGAATTATATAATATGTGTTAATAATGATTATATATATATATATATATAAAATTGTTATAGTGGATAAACCCGTCTACTTAATCTATTTTGCAATTTACTAAAATATTTCTTTGGCCAACTCGTTAAAATACAATTTAAATTTTGAAAATATATTTTAGTTTTTTATAAAAAAAATTGAATTGATTTTCGAAAATGATACTAATTAATTATGAAAATACAAATAAAAAATATTACAACAGTTTAAATAGATTTTTTCATATATATGGATTGATTATTATAAAATAATAGAATATATTTTTATATTATAATAAATAAAGAAACTAAATACACTTTCAATTTATATCCATATATATTGAAAACAAATATGTGAGTTCCATATTAAACTATTTCTTACGGTGAAAAATTTAACTGAGCTTTCTACATTTGTAAAATCTATTCATGTAATATTTTCTAAGTAAAGGTTTATATATGTAATATCTTATAAATAAATCTTAATTTATGTAAAAAACTTTAATTCAAGTTTTTGGTTAATGCATGTTTAGAGGATTTTCGGTCCTCGAGTAAGGGCAAGTCTCCTGCAAAACAAAAAAGACATGAAGGCCTGGAAAACACAATGAGAGTGTGTTTTCCGAAGGCTCTCCGACTCTCAAGAAAGAAAACAGCTAAAAAAAACCACTAAGTGGCTAATCGAAGAGCAGAACGAAGTCGGAAAACATATACAGATGAAAGAAGGCCGAGAGTCCTTGAGAATTGTAGGATCTGCTCGGGCTTTTTAACGAGAGTAGGTTTTTTTGGTGGAAAGAGAGGAAAAGAAGAATTTGAAGGTGAAAATACTCCACGGTTTAGGAACCGCCGTGGAGGAGAAGTGAAATGAAATGACCGTAAAGTTGATCGGAAAAGTGTAGAACGTCTGGACTTAAGAACCACAAGTATCTAGAAAGATATAGATGACTGAGAAAGTGAACTCCCCTCCTGTAGAAAAGAGAAAAGTATTTATACGAATTTACCTGACCCGGGTTAGTATACCGGGTCGATACATGGATGGCAAATTGGGTGGGTCGGCCCATGATCCAACTTGACTGAGTTCGAATCTTGTGATGGCGTCACGCTTCTGATGGTCTCACCAACTTTCCTTGGCGTATTCTGCCTGCGATGAGACCGTCCCTTGGCACGTCCCTTTTGTTCTCAGTGTACGAGTTGGGTCGACGACTCAGGCGCGATATGGATCTTTTCTGAACCTCTGCTTTTTTCCTTGGCTCTTGTGAAAGATCACTGTCACCTGACACATGTAAGGAAAACGCATTAAATGCCAATCTCGTGGGTTTGTAAGGGTATGGATAATCAAATCAAGCTGAAGTATATTCATTTTGTCGAATGGAGTGAAATTTGAATAGCGTTCCCGCTCAAGTTGTTCATTCATTCCTGGCCAAATCCCTCGATACTGGGATCGGGCTGTCGCAGATGATTAACCTTGCTCTTCGGGTACATGTGTGGGTCATACTTCTTTATGTCCCCATCCTTCCGGATCACCGAGTTTAGGTCTAGGACATAGAGAATATGACATCTCTTCCTCTTGACCACTCAGTTTCCGGCTTCCTTGTTTCTGACAGTGTGGCCTGTGTTGTCAGATACAAGGAATCTGGAAACAGATGATCTATCGTACCGGATCTTCCAAATCCGAATGGATTCGAAGTTTGGTGCTATAAGCTTAAACCGTATTGGGCCGGAGACCCACTACGTATCCTAATTTGGCCCAAAAGGGCCGTATCTACAAAAAAAAAGTCATGAACGCCACGTGCATGCGATTTGTCCACACAGAAAAGATCGAATTTATCCCTAACAGTTAACAATCTAACAATATATCATTTTTAATAAATTATTTTATTATTTTTATCTAGTTAGTATTACAGTTTTCTTTAATTCTTTATGTCTAACTATTTCTATTATTTTTTTCAAAGTTTGTTTGTATTTATGTATTAAATATAAATAATAATAAATATAAATAAATGTATATTAAATAAATATTTTAATACATTTAATGTCAAAATTTGTAGTTTTGATTATGTGAACACCTTAGAGAGAATCTATTATATTAAAACAGAAGCACTGTTTGTTTCCAAACACTCCCAACATTTTTTAAAAAAATATTTTTATATATAATAAATTTAATTCCAAAAATTAGATATTAATTTAGATAACTAAAAATTTCCTTAAATTATGTTATATATCTATAGTCTATATTAATTTAAAAATATAGACTATACGTTAGATTTCCTTAAATATATGTTAGATTTAATTTAACATTTGAAATTTAAATAAGATTTTCAGAATAACACATATGATTAAGAAATATTTTATTATATATTTTTAATCATATTCTATTAGATTAAAATTTCACATATTAAAAATAGATAAATATTAATATTATATAATAATTTGATAAGACAAGTTAAGTTTTTTTTATAATTATAGTCTTATGTGGGTTAGGTTATCAAAGCATGCAAGATATTAGGAGAAAATTATTTCAAAATTAGTAAATATTCAAGTTAGAATTATGGTTTCATAATCATGGTTTTTTTATGATTAACAAAATGAGTGAGTTAGAAATATATTTTTACAATAACAGTCACTTTTAATTAATAAAATAATCGAGTTAAAATTATGTTTTTATGATCACGGTAGTCATAATAATACTAAAAAAAATAAAAAAATAATATCTAAACATAAATTTTTTTTATATCACTTATTAAAAAAATTATATTTATAAAGAAAACATAAATTAAATTATAAATTTTAATTAAAACAAAATTCTCGTACGGATATACGGGCTAAAATCTAGTTATGCTATTATATTCACTACCTGTTTCTTTAATCTTGGTCAGTTGTTAATATTGTTCCGCTTTACTTTTTTATTCATTATTATATCTAAAACCCTTTACGCAAAACACCTAAATGAGTTAGAGCTGAGCTGTCAAGTTTTGATTGATTAGTGATTATAAAAAGTGAACGTAGAATGGGAGCCACGAACAAGTCGCAAGATAAGAAAAAATAAAGGTTAAATAGTTATTTATTGAGAAAAAAAAAACATTAACGTACTATTCGTTTAATTAAAAGTGTTTGTGAGACTCTTTTGTATTATACATATGAACAAATTAAGCTTGACAAAGCGTCGATCTGAGTCAGACGATAATGTTTTTTTTTCGGACAATAAAGTTAGGTTCCCTATAATTTCAAATATTATCTTCACATGATCACACCAATACACACACAAACACATAGTATACTATTCACCAAAAAAAAAACACATAGTATACTAGTTTGTAATCGTGTATATATAAACGTTTATTCTCCAAACCATTAACACAAATTTTAAGAGGAGAAAAAAAAAACATACTTCATTCTCTGGACAAACTCACAATCAAACAAACAAAAATGGACATGGAAGATCAGTTTTTAAAAATGGGAACTAGCTTCACGCACGAAATGCTTTTGTCTTCTGGATTCTATGGGATCTTGAGTTCTTCGGCGCCACCACAATTTCTCGGTGTTCCAATTATCTTGGAAGGTATGAAATCCCCTTTTCCTTCTTCTTCGTCTCCGACCTGCTTTGTGTCCTCTCAGGAGCTCACTTCTTCTTCTTTTCAACAATCTATGGTGGCTTCTGTTCCTTGGAACTTTCTAGAATCTTTTCCTCTATCTCAACGTCCTGATCATCATCTTTCTAAACCCCCAAACCTTACCTTGTTCCTTAAAGAGCCCAAACTCTCTCAATCCAATAGTAATATGATCCCTTACCATAACTATCTCCCCAACTCTTTCCATCAATCAGATCAAAATAGAAACGAGTGGGCAGAGATCAATAAAACCCTAACTAGTTATCCCTCAAAAGGGTTTGGAAACTATTGGCTAAGAACCACCAAGACTCAGGCTATGAAGCTTGCGTCAGGATCAAAAACAAGAAAAGTTGTTCAGACGACGACACCAACGAAGCTGTACAGAGGAGTCAGACAAAGACACTGGGGCAAATGGGTCGCAGAGATTAGGCTTCCAAGGAACAGAACTCGTGTTTGGCTCGGCACTTTCGAGACTGATGAGCAAGCCGCAATGGCTTACGATACTGCAGCTTATATCTTGCGTGGCGAATACGCTCACCTCAACTTTCCTGACCTAAAACATCAGCTCAAGTCCGGCTCCTTGCGATTAATGATCGCCTCACTTTTGGAGTCAAAGATTCAACAAATCTCCTCTTCTCAAGTAATAGGTTCCTTTAACTCCCCTCCTCCTTGTCCTCCCAAAGTGGAAACATCGAAACCCAATAATCATATCGAGATGGAGTCAGGAGAAGTTGTGATGATGAAGAAACATAAACTCCAAAAGGAAGTGATGGAAGGAGATGGTGTACAATTGAGTAGGATGCCTTCTTTGGATATGGATCTCATTTGGGATGCTCTTTCAATCCCCCATTCTTCTTGACTTGATCAATTTCTTTTTTTAATTTTTCCATATAAAAGAAATCATATTTTGATGCCAGGATTCAAAATTGGTTCGCATTTGAGGGTTGAACACATTGTAATATTTCTTCTTACAACCACACAATTAAGTGGCTCTCTTTTTCTGTTTGCTCTAATAGAGCTTTAATTTGTTCTTTTTTTATTTTTGCGGTTAGTAACCATACAATAGAAAAGTGTTTATTTTCAATTAAAATATAAATAAGTTTTAAGTCTATTGCACCAATTCCAACTTCACAATCCAATGTCATAGAATATATCTACGTTCTAAGCTCAAAGGTCAAATTAATACATTTGAAAAAAAAAAGGGTCAAATTAATACATTAGTAGGTCATATGAGAGTTAAGGGCAGGTGTGAGTTTCAGAATTTTAAAGTATATTTATATATATTTTTTTCCTTAGATACAAGAAAAAAGGTAAAAAATCTAGTGTTATTACAGAAATAGAAAAGAACAAATGTTGCTAATATGGAAAAAAGAAACTACGATTTTTTCATCCAACCATCTATCTATATATATAAAGTAAAATATTCTCTTTTCTCATGATGCCACATCATCTTAACTCTTTCTATTTTGGTAACACATCAACACCTAAAATTCTCTTCTAAACTCGTTTGACCGACCGTGACATTTAGCCAAACTTATACTCAAACATGGTCCAACTATATTCTGCTAGAGTTGATTATTTAAACCTAATAAGAATTAAACCCCACATAAATCCACCTTCACTTCAAACTCTTTGCCTCCTTCCTCTCTTTCTCTCAACATTGAATTTCCTAATTGGCAGCATCCTCGCCTCTTCTCTACTCCATTTCTCCATATATATAAAGTAGAATATGATATCTTCTCATGATGCCACATTACTATCTCAAACAGTCAAATTCTAAAATTGTGACACATTATTAACTCATCTATTAATTTTAAGTTGTTTATATGGTTTATTATATTTGGTGCTATTATGCTTTAATTCTCATGATAACTATTATCCACTAATTTAATGAGAATATGAAAAAATATTTCTTTATAAATAATAAATTTTATATATATATATATTGATGCATGTTTTCATTATTATTAAATTTGATCTATTCCATATATATATATATTACATATGGATAATAAACCATATATTTTTAAGATTACCAGATTTGGACCCAGCTATACAAAATTTTTTAAAAAATTCTCGGATTTGAGTTCTTTAATATCCACAAATATCCAAATCTATTTTAAAACACTAAAATATAATAAAATACATAAATTTTAAAAAGAATAAAATATGAAATTATAAAATTAAATGCATGTTAACGGATAACGAATATTCACACAAGTTTTAAGAAGCTCAAATGATAAGTCTGATCTTTTAATGGATATGTGATAATGCATATAATGTGAAGCAAATTGTGGTATCCCAATATATTAACATGTTCAACCTAATCTTATAGGTGAAGTCCTCCCAAAACATTATACAGAGCTTAAGTTGGAGAGATGACATTAAGAATCGTTAGAAAATCAAAAGAGAAACATGAGGAAAATAGAAACTTAAATCGGTCCAATATGTTGTATGTGGCTCAACGTGTCGCATTGATGAGAGGGAGAGGGAGAGAGAGAGAAAGAGAGAGAGAGAGAGAGAGAGAGAGAGAGAGAGAAAAAAAAGAAAGAGAGAAAGAGAGAAAAAAAGAGAAAAAGAAAGAGAGAATATCTTCTACATGGTGTTTTTCCTGACAATGACTTGACATTGATGCAACCATCCAAAATTGCAGTGTTTTTTGAAATAGTAAACCTACATAAATATACATATAAAGATATTTATAAATTAAGTTTGATTTGAAATTTTTAAAAATGTTGTATATATATAATTAGATATAAAATTATTAAACACTACAAATATTAAAATTGAGTATTTCTAAAAAAATTTGGAATACGTAATCCGATAAAAAATGATATCATCAAGTTTTCTTTTAAATATGTTAATAAACACAATATACGCGAACCCCAGTTCAAACCCTAGTATACAATAAAATAAAGGAGAATTGGTTTAATATTCTAAAAATTTTATATAATTTTATAACTAACTCATGTTTTAAAAAGTTTGAAAACTAGCCTTTTTGCATCTAAAATAACCAAAATACTACAGATAAATGAAAAATAGAACTTTTTTTGGTCGTATACATTATCACTGAAAAATCAAAGAGTTAATAACAAAAACAGAGCAAAAAAACCAGAGCACATAAACTCAGAAAACATAAAGGACACTAAGGGCTTGACTGGTTTAAACGCAGTGGTTGCGGTTACGAGTGCGGGAGTTTGCGGAAGCAGATGATTGCGGTTTTAAGCGTTATTCAGCGGTTTGCACGACCGGTTAAATTTTTTAAAGCGGATCCGTTTGCAGGACAATTTTGACTGGCAAACCAGTGATTGTTTTAGCGGTTAAACATAAAATTACCAAAATAAACATCATATATAATTATAAAAAAAAACAGAAAAACTATATTATTATGATTAATATCAAAATCAATAGTTTAAAATAATTAATAAAATTATAAATAAAATACTAAATAAATATTTTAAAAATTAAAAAATTTTATAATAATATGTTTTATTTCAATTATTGGGAACATCACCCAAAGTTGTGTCTAGTAATGTAATAGACTGGAAAAAAATTGCTCCAATGCGTGGATCTTTTGGATTTGTCTTATGTTTGATGTAAATTTTTTTCAATTGATCTAATCGATTTTTTACACGATCCCAACTCAAATCAACTCCAAATTGCTCATTAGTATTCTTCAAAATACGTTCTTTCTGGAGTGCACTCAAAAATCTAGGATATTTATCTTGACTTTGTTTTTCCACAATGATCCATTGAAGTAACACACATGTCATCTCGTTTGATCATGTAACTTTCTGAAGAACAGAAAAAAAGAATTATAACAAACTAATTTTGTAATTAATAAGATACATATTTATAATTTCTTACTTTAAATTTAAAAGTGGAAACAGAATAATTAATATAAATAAATTAAACTAAAGTATTATGACACTTATGCTTGTATCGTAATTTTTTTCAACTGATATTTATTTATTTTTTATATTTTTACCTAACCGCTACCGTCCGCAACCGCAAACGCTAGCGGAAAGCAACTTTTGGATTTCAGCAGTATAAAACGATACAGAGCGGTTTGCAGCGATTTTTATGATTGTGATAAAACACTACTAACCGCTACTAACCGCAAACGCTGCGTTTGCGGGTGATAGCGGGTGAACCAATCAACACCTAAGAGAAAGAGAATTATATGCACAACACGACCTCTTGAAGCAAGACGATCATGAAGCAATGAAGGACCTCCCATAACCAAATAGGATTTGGAAAAAGTCATCTCTTGTAAAACGTTTTAAGATATCTCAAGCAGTGTTGTTGATATTTTGTTTTTCCAGGTCGAATTCACAGCGGTGGATACAGGGCCGGCTCAAAGTGATTGGACGCCTAAAGCGTACCGTAAAAATGATGCCTTTAATCAATTTTTTTTTTTGCAGCATATTTTTAAATATCTAATTAAAAGTTTTTGAAATAAGAGGATAAACAACTTTTTTTTTGCTTAAAATCGATTTTCTCTGCTTAAAATCAGTTTTTGAAGCTTAAGATCGATTTTTAAGCCCAAAATAACTTTTTAAGCTGAAGATCAATTTTTTTTAAGCTCAGAATTGATTTTTTGATGCCTAGAATCGATTTTTTAAAGCTAAAATCGATTTTTTGAAACCCAAAATCGATTTTTATAAGCCAAAATCGAATTTTATAAGTCAGAACCGATTTTTTTAAACCCAAAATCGATTTTTATAAGCAATGATCGATTTTTTTTAAAAAAAGTATATAATGACTCTTATTTAGAAGCAATTTTCCCATTCCCATCTTTTGTACTTGGTCGATGTGGGATAAAAATATTTACACACATTTATTAAAAAAAAAAAATTGAATTTTTTTTGCTGTTCCCAAAATTAGTATCTTTTGGACCGCCTTGAAATTATTGCTTCACGGACCTTAGCTGTGGGCCGGTCCTGGATGGATATGGGTCCGATAACTATTGATGAAATTATTATAAGCACGGTATATTGTCCATGATGATAATTTCGAGATTACCTCCACTGCTGCAGCCAAGTCCTGTGAGATGATTATTTTCGACATTTTCAAATCTCATAACCTTGCAGTGTCCATATGATAACCCAGATTATAATATCCTATTTGGGGAATGTGTGAAAGCTTCCCTGGCATGAAACAATGTATCATCACAAGCTAGCCAAACTCCTTCACAACGCAACCTTGAATTTCCCCAATTCGCATTAATATTGCATTTGACCACTCCACTAATAAGAGGGAACAATTGTTCCTTCATATAGCAAATGTTACCTCTGCTTCGACTCTCATCTGATGTTGTATTATTAAGTTCATTCCATAGTTTAGCTTCGTCCAAAGCCATTTTAACAATCAGAAAAAAATCAGATGGCATGATGTTTGATGAATTGGTTCATACGGTTGTTGAAGATCTAAATATATTTTTTATATCCAAATATAAATTTTAATTATTTTAATCTAGTAGATATATATATTTGATATTTATATATGATATTATTATTAAAGATTTATTTTACAATATTTTTTATTCCGACAAATATAAAAGAAAACTAATTATTTCATCTGTATATTCTCAAAATTCAAAAAGATAAAAAGTTAGTTTTCAAAGATTTTTAAAAAGAGGCTAGTTTTTAAAACATATAATTTTTTGGAATATACAATCAAATCTACACTATTTTTTTTTGGAATATACAATCAAATGTAGCGTTTTAATTAATTATGATAGGTTGATCATTAATCCTACGTGTAAATATCCGTGACATGACAAAAAATATGAGGTGTCGTCTCCACAGCAATTGTCATACGTGTCATTATCAAAAAAAATATGTGGCGTTTTAATTAATTTTGATAGGTTGATCATTAATATTACATGTAAATATATATGGCATGCCTAAAAATCTGATGTGTCGTCTACACAGTGATTATCCTAGGTGTCATTATTATAAAAAAAAGTAAGTGGTGTTTTAATTAGTTCTGATAGGTTGATCATTAATCTACATGTAAATACATGTGACATGCTTTTTTCGATTAAGGGCCAATGATTTTGTTTATGGACCACCGATATCAAAGTCGGTACTAACCGAAACCCTAACGTATCCATCCTATATATACTCCTCTCGGTCTTCATGTTTTCTTACATACAACGTCCGTCTTCTAAGGTTTAGCATCTTTTTAAAAAATTTATCCACATCTTTTTAAAAAATCAATATATACTATTATTTATGTATTTCCGTAATGACAATCTACTATTTTTTATAGTTCATAATTTGCTGATTGAATATTTCATCTCTCGCCTTACAATAGAATCGTCAGGTAAATGTTTTTTATAGTGCTTTAAATGTTTTTTCTGCCTTTAGACGTTCTTCTTATGTAAATCTATTGCCTAATAGTTCTTTCCTTCATAAAAATTTAAT